GGCGGGACGCCTGCGGGGGTGGGAGGGGGTGGTGGTTGGGTGGGGGGCACCCTATGGGTGTCCCATCCCCCCCTATGGGTGTCACATCCCCCCCAACCCTGCTCACCTTGGGGTAGAGCACGGGGTAGAAACGATCCACGTTGACGTCCTCGCACACCAGCTGTGGGGAGGATGGGTGATGCCATGGGTGGCCCCCGGGGTGGGGGGCGGGGGGACCGAGGGGAAGGCACCCATGGGTGCTGCCGGAGGTGCTGCACCCACCTTGGCCATCTGCACCACGTTGGGGAACTCAGCCAGGCAGGAGATGGGCACCACGTCATGTAGGGTGCGGGCGCGGGTGCTGTGGGGCGAGGAGGGGGTCAGGGTGGTCCCCAACCCCCAGCCAGCACCCATGGGTGCCCCCCTCCCACCCCCAGCTCACCGCAGCAGCAGGTGGAGGTGCTCCTGCTCGTCGTACTTGAGGGAGAAGACGAGGTGGCCCAGCGCCGGGTCCAGGGAGTAGTAGTTGAAGTGCTCCTGCAGGGAGGGGGCCAAGCACCCATGACCACGCCAATGGGTGCTCACACTGGCAGGCACCCAGCCACGGGGCAACAGTGTCCATGGGGCACCCATGCTCATGGGCCACCTAACCTACAGACACCTGTAGGTCCCCATGCCCATGGACACCCATGCCATGGGTCATCCATGTCTCTGAGCACCCATAACCCTCATCACCCATCCCCATGGGGCACCCATGCCCATGAGCACCAATATCCATGAGCACCCATGCCAATGGGGCACCCATGCTCATGCCTACAGGCACTTGGAGGGCACCCATGCCCGTGGACCCCCATGCCATGGGTCATCCATGGCTCTGAGCACCCATAACCCTGATCACCCATCCCCACGGGGCACCCAAGACCATGAAGACCTACAGATACCACCACCTACACTGATGGCCACACATGTGATGAGCCACCCATACCCTTGAGCACCCATGTTATGGGTCACTCAGGTTCCTGAGCACCCACAACAACAGGCACCCACAGTTGTGGAGCTCCCATGCCCATGCATGTCCATGCCATGGGGCACCCATGTCCCTGAGCATCCATACCCATAGAGCCATGATGCCATAGGGCACCACAGTCCATGAGCACCCATACCCATGGGTCTCCCATGCCCATAGATGACCACCCTCATGTCCATGAGCCCCCATACCATGGGGCACCCATATCCATGAGCACCCATCCCCATGGGTCTCCCATGCCCATAGATGACCACCCTCATGTCCATGAGCCCCCATACCATGGGGCACCCATATCCATGAGCACCCATCCCCATGGGTCTCCCATGCCCATAGATGACCACCCTCATGTCCATGAGCCCCCATACCATGGGGCACCCATATCCATGAGCACCCATCCCCATGGGTCTCCCATGCCCATAGATGACCACCCTCATGTCCATGAGCCCCCATACCATGGGGCACCCATATCCATGAGCACCCATACCCATAGAGCTCCCATGCCCATGCATGTCCATGCCATGGGGCCCCCATGTCCCTCGGGCCCCCAGGTCCATCGGGCACCCAGGTCCATGAGGACCCATACCCATAGATGACCACACTCATGTCCATGAGCACCCATACCATGGGGCACCCATATCCATGAGCACCCATACCCATAGAGCTCCCATGCCTGTAGATGCCCACACCCATGCATCACCCATGTCCATCGGGCACCCAGGTCCATGAGGACCCATACCCATAGATGACCACACTCATGTCCACGAACACCCAAATGCATTAGCTCCCATGCCATGGGGCACCCATATCCATGAGCCCCCATACCCATAGAGCTCCCATGCCTGTAGATGCCCACACCCATGCATCACCCATGTCCATGGGGCACCCAGGTCCATGAGCACCCATACCCATGGGTCTCCCATGCCCATAGATGACCATACCCATGTCCATGAACACCCAAATGCATGGGCACCCATATCCATGAGCACCCATACCCATAGAGCTCCTATGCCCATAGATGCCCACACCCATGCATCACCGTGTCCATGAGGCACCCAGGTCCATTGGGCACCCAGGTCCATGAGCACCCATACCCATGGGTCTCCCAAGCCCATAGATGACCACACTCATGTCCATGAACACCCATGCCATGGGGCACCCATATCCATGAGCACCCATACCCATAGAGCTCCCATGTTTGTAGATGCCCACACCCATGCATCACCCATGTCCATGGGGCACCCAGGTCCATGAGCACCCATACCCATGGGTCTCCCATGCCCATACATGACCACACTCATGTCCATGAACACCCAAATGCATGAACACCCATACCATAGGGCACCCATATCCATGAGCACCCATACCCATAGAGCTCCCGTGTTCGTAGATGTCCACACCCATGCATCACCCATGTCCATGGGGCACCCAGGTCCATGAGCACCCATACCCATGGGTCTCCCAAGCCCATAGATGACCACACTCATGTCCATGAACACCCAAACGCATGAGCACCCACGCCAGGGGACACCCATGTCCATGAGCACCCCTGAGGTCTCCATGCTGATGCCCACCCATGCCCATGGGGAACCCACCCACCCCAAGCACCCACACCTGGAGCACCCAACGGGGTGGGGGCTCACCTTGCCCAAGAAGTGCTTGCGGTAGATCTTGGCCGTGTGGTTGCCCTCAAGCCTCGCCCGGGCGCTGGGTGCGGGGGTCTGGGGGGACTCGGGTGCCCCGCTCAGCTGGTGGTTGGTGCCCTCGATCCAGTAACCCCCAAACTGCGGCAGGAGGATGAGGGGGAACGGCCCCTCCCGGCCCAGCACCTGCACCCAGAGGGAGATGGGTGCTCCATCCACCCCCCGCCCCCCCGGGCACCCATCTCTGGAGGGGAGGGGGGGCTCTACCTCGTGCACGCTGGGGTAGGGGATGTAGTCCTCCTCCGTCTGCAAGACAAGGGGGTGGGTGAAGGCCATGGTAGCACCCATGGGTGCTGGGGAGGGGGAAGTCCACGCTGACACCCATGGGTGCCGGTTGGGTGCCCCCACCCCATCAACACCTACCTTGAGCGGTGGGGGGGCGGCGTGGCGCTGCTGGGCCATCCTGCTGCCCTGCGGGAGAGGGGGGGGCTGTGGGTGCCCGTCACCCCACCTTGGGGTGAGCACCCTTGGGTGGGGAGCACCCATGGGG